TACACTGTTGTAGAACTGTCAGACAATTTCAGAAAAGGCCGCAGGCCCAATAGCCTTCTACAAGAACTAGCAGTTATACTTGCCCGAGGGCGGGTATTTCTGCTAGTTTATATAAATATTTATACGAAAATTCACAAATAGGCTGTTGTAGAATATTTATTTATTTTTTATATAAGTTTGGGGTGGATGATCAGACTTTATGAATAACACCAGGGGATAATAGCAAGAGTTTGAAAAACTTTGGATTTGCTTTTTTCCTGTGGGACGGGGGCAGCGCTAAAGGGGGACTATAATCACCTCAAGATTTGCATTAGCCACCCCAATTAGCGTGTTTGACACACCTACACATCTTGATGACAAAGTCTCTAAATGTTCTGTCTGGCCCACCTCAGACCCCCCATCTGGAAAAGACTGGCGCCGGATCTGCCGTGTGACTCTCTGTCTGCTAACCTATCGTAGATGATAATAACTAATACTGGATTTATTAAAATTATTAGTTACTCCCTCTACGATAATATAATATATTGATTTCTTACTAAAGCTTATGAAAGGTTATGTTAAATAATGTTACACAGGGTAACTCACTCCATAAAATTATTCTTATCAAACAGTGCTCACTCTGCTCTGGTGTAGGCGCTCGGTGTGTCAGTTCCACAAGACAAAGTTTTCATGAAAATTAGGCCTATTGATTTCCAAAGTTTATCCAGCTTTCGGCACTCAACACAGTAGTAATGACGGTTGTCTAGTTGGGAAGAAATCCTTAAAATTTTATACCTGGCCTTGTTTGATAGTTAGAGGTCAGGCATGGACAGTATGGTTAGAGTGCAGGGATGCGTATCGTAAGGTCCAAAGAGCGATATGCTAAACATGCTCCGCACTTTTATCTTGGGATGGGGGCGTTATAACAGTGACAGTCATTTCTCCTCGATCGATTAAAAGTAGTTGCATAGGTTCTACTGGCTAACTTCGCTCCCCCTGATCACTAATTTTAAATTACAGATGGATATATCCGAACCTTGGGAGGTTTCTGAACTGGTCCTTTAACCCATTATTGTATTTTTGTAACAAACTATTTTACTTCTCATCACAAGGAGCCCTTAGCTCATTTGTTTATTTCATGGGAATGTCTTAAGTTCAATACATTTTCTTAGATGACAACAAAATGGTGACGACTCCAGGATCCTGAAAATGGGGAGGAAAAGAGGTTGCAGACAGATGAGGGCTTTTTTTTTTTATGAATAAGCAGAAGTTCGTTCGCTTTGTTGTTAAAAACAATGGGCTCTCTGTGCTGTGTCCACCACGGGTATCGAAACTCGATATCTACCGTTATAAGTCCTATAACTTGCCGTTTAGCCAGTGGAAGAAAATCTAGTGAATAGAGATTGAGTGTCTCTAAGAAAATATGATTATTTTTGCTGTAGAATGTTTTCATTACTCTCTCTCTCTAAGAAAATACTCGATACTCACCAGACACCTTACTTGAAATAACTCGTTATGAAATTACAACGGCACTTCCATTAAAATTTTCAAATAACAGAATTCGTAAATTAAAACGTTTCTTTTTCATAATACTCAACATTTTTTTTCAACTCGAAAATGTGGCGTTCCTAAACTGTTACATAGTAGAACATAAATCCCCCGGTGGGATAGCGGTAAGTTTACAAACTTACACGCTAAAATCCAGGGTTCGATTCCCCGCGGTAGAAACAGCCCAATGTGGCTTTGCTATAAAACAAACAAGTATAACGTACTTTATCCCCATTCCTCACCAAACCGGTGTCATCAGAACATTACCCATCCATAAACTCATAACACAAGTACTGTAAACAACAGAAGGGGGTTGGGGTTCTTACAACCACGGTGATTATGTTCTAAAAGGTTATTTATCGATTCGACGCAATTATTATTATTTTTTCATTGAGTTATCACACTGACTCTACAAATGAATTAAATAATTGGGGGATAATATATTTTAACATGAAATTCTTTAACTCAGTGAACATGTTACAATATAAGTGTAACACCATGGAATAGCTTATACAAGCTCATAATACAGATATATATAAAATGATGAAATGCATTAAATTAAGTGATTGTTGCCACTTAGGTTCCAATGTAATTTTCTCGCTGGCCTTAGGGACAATAGGGCTAACCAGTCCTGGGAAACGTACTTTTTACTAAACGTTTTAGGGAAGGCACACAAATTTCAGGAGAGGAGGGTGGTTTCCACCTAGTGTCACCACTGTAATAACACTTGAGCATCGTTTTGGGCAAGATACCCCAAATAGATAGATAGAGAAATAGATTTATTTATCATACTTTGTAAAACTTCGAATTTGCTATTCTCATTTTTAGCTGCGAGTTTTTTTTTTTTTTTTTCAAGTACAAACTCTTAGCTCATAGCTCCATCTCTTGACCGATTTGAGATCTAATTACAGCCGCGGCTAATGAGGATTCCCTCTTGTTATAGCTTCCGCAGTTCACCGTTAGATTCTTGTAGTGATTTATGTTTCAATTACATTTCAAAAAATAAATTAAAAAGGTGTTTTTGAACAAATGTATTTTATTAATGGGTTAGAATTTTTTACTGGCAAATATACTAATGCTATCTGCCGCCATCTCTAATTTTGAACTATTGATAAAAGTGACGGCAGCCAGTGAGCAGCACTCTACCGTCCACAATCAACGCTAAGGGACTGACTGCTACTTTTAGTTATAACACAACTACCGCTTAAAATGCGGGTAGTATTTTGCGGCATTGCATGGAATCGAACCCGATTCGCCAACTCTGAGATTCAGAGCTCTACCGCAGGACACGGTGCCGACCAATGTCTTTTAAAATGTCGAGCCACGATTAGTAGATAATAAAAAGTGCAGACGTATCTTGAGATAATTTCAGAACCTATATGGTGACCTCTTTTTTTACATTTCCTTTGATCCATATCATTTTTTTTTTTTAAATCTATTGAAAGTCTCAGGAAAACGTGCCAACTCACGTGTAAAACTAGTACAGTAAACGTACGGGTAGTTTCTTCTTGTACTGCTTTATTTAACCCCCGATTTTTATTCAAACAATGGCAAGATTACCGAAATAGATACGACTAAAACAAGCTCAGCGCGTGCATTATTTCTGTAGTCATCTCCTAAAGGTTATACCTCGAACTAACTGTTTAAGTAACAGAATACACAAAGACAGTTTAAATAATGTGTTTGATTGTAATTAAGCACAAAGCTACACAATGGGCTATCTGGGCTCTGCCCACCACGGGTATCGAAACCCGGATTCTAGCGTTGTAAGTCCGCAGACATACCGCTGTGCCACTGTGGGGCTGCTAGCCCTTACCGCTGATCCACTTGCAGTTTGGTGCACATATTATAGTACTTTACCTCTTATGAAAACGGTTTTATTATCGTTATGAAATTAATATTTGTTTTCTTCTACCTTAACCTTGGTCCATTTTTATAAAGAGTGGTTATCTAGTTATTTTATTGATTAGTTTACGTACTTACATGGGTTCACAGAAACTTAAACTTACGATTGCGACAACTTCACAAGTTACCCCCAGTGGCACAGTGGTATGTCTGCGGACTTACAACGCTAGAAACCGGGTTTCGATACCAGTGGTAGGCAGAGCACAGATAGCCCATTGTGTAACTTTGTGCTTAATTCCAAACAAGTTTTACCTCACGATGGTGATTTATTTAACAATTTATAAAATAAAAAAAACTAAACCCAAATATTTGTTTGTTTAAGAGCAAAGCCACTTTGGGTCATCCGCTGTGTTCACTGCAGGGAAGCGAACACCGTATTTTAGCGTTTTATATCCGTAGACTTATTGGTATCCCATCGGGGACAAACTAAAAAAAATATATATACTCGTAAGTTTTTAATAGCTATAGAAAGACACAAACGATGTTGTTTTTTTAACTTACTTTGGACTTGTTCTTTGGTTAAATCTTCAGCCTGTTAAAGAGAAGAAAAAATAAAAAAAACAATTAACAGTATTCATCTACATTTCTCCACAAGTACAATTTATTAAAACTAAATCATCTACACAATGTGCATACTTAAATATTATACTTTAATCGTTACTTACCATTCCAGACATTTTTGTTAGATTTTCACGCGAACAAGGAAACCTTACAAACCCCTCTGCGTCAGACAGAAATACTCCCGGGAATAAACTTTCTCGGTGGCTCGGTTTTATTCTAGATTGATGTAGTCGCTGGTTGTGAAAGCTCGCTCCTAGAGGATGTTGGGAGAAAGAAAACATCGGAGTTAAACTGATACGGAGATTGAGATGACAACCATTTTCGGCGAGGTCGTACGCTCACTCACTGTTGTACTAATACTACGTAAACCAATTTGGTATACCCGGATGTTTGTGTATTTTTAGATTTTATTTATAACATAAAACTCTGCTTTATAGTTTGTAATAGTAAACAGCAACATTCTAGCTTTACTTGAAACATAGGCCTACGGAGAAGAAGAAAATATTTTTAAAGAGTAAACGAAAAGTAGAAAAACTGCAAAAAAACTTATTCATGGGGATCTCAATAAAAAATTCTTTGTTTGTTTTGTTGAAGTTCGAGCAAAGCTACTCGATGGTTATCTGCGCTAGTCGTTCCTAATTTTGGAGTTATAAGTTAGAGGAAAAGCAGCTAATCATCACCGCCGACTCTTGAGCTACTCTTTGCCAACGAATAATGAGATTGACCCTCACAGTATAACGCCCTCACGGCTGAAAAAAAAGCAAGCATGTTTGGTGACGAGATTCGATCCCGAGACTTACAAATTGCGAATCTAACCGTCAGACTCTGCCAGGCCCAAAGAGAGTTAAATCTTGATAAACTGAAATGTCATGCATACTTTGAATAGTGTCGTTGAGTATATATAGTAACTCTTAGAACATATATATATATATAACACTAAAAATTGGGTTTCGATACTCGCAGTGGGCACATGACAGCCCATTTGTATGGCTTTGCATTTAACAACAAATAATTATACATAGCTTATTAAAATTATGCTTACTCGAGATTTAGAAGTTGTT